ATATAATATATTAATCTTATATTATATTAATTATTGTATAGTATAGTATGCTAATATAATATAATATAATAGGTTTTTTATAATTTGGGGGGTTCAATATCCAACCTAAATCCTCTCTCAATGTTAGGATTTCACAAATTCTAAAATATAATAGTTTTTTATAATTTGGGGATTCAATATCCCAAAATTGGTTTTGAAACAAATATGGTTTATGGAATTCTAAAACCCAAAAAACTTATAATCCACCTTATATCCCAAAAAAAAGTTGAAACAAAAGAGAGGATCTCACAAATCCTAAAAATATATTATTTTTTTATAATTTAGGGATTCAATATCCCAAAATTAATTTTGAAACAAACAAAGTTTATAGAATACCAAAACTCAAAAAAAAAAAAAACACTTTTTACATCCCAAAACTTGAAATCCACCCTATATCCCAAAAAAAAAAACGAAACAAACACCCCTTAGACATCAGATGAATTTCACAATAACCCTTTAACTTTGGATATTTTACAAATAATCTCCTCACTTTTTAAAATTTCATAAATTCCGCCTTTTCTCCTTAAGTATTGGAGTTCTTGGAAAACCCTCTTTAGCTTTCAACATTTTCCGGACACCTCTCTAAAATCATGAATCACAGATGTTACCATAAAGAATATTTTCCAGCGCAATTTTCATCGCTCACGAGGAAAATGCGCTTAACGCTGTTAATTAAAGAGTTTTCTAAGAACCCAAAAACTAATTAGGAGAGGTTTTATGACACTTTTTTAAGTTTAAGGGGTTTATTTGAGAAACATCCAAGCTTAATTACAGCGAGGTCTCTGAAATATACCCTTAAAGATATATACCTAAGTAATGCTAATTTTAAGATTATTACACTTTATGACACGAACATTAATCTAAAAGTTGACATACATGCGTTTGATGCATATGTTTGATTGAAGTAACAGATCATCTTCACAGATTTTGTCTCTTAACATTCTTAATAGGTTTCCGGCTCTAATACTGCAATACCAGTGATAGTAGTTTCAACTCAAGGATGAGTAGTTGATACTGTTAAAATTATTTCTTCTCCCATATTTCTTCCCCCTTTGTAATGAAGAAAACAACAGAAATGAATAAGGGTTTTCTTTATATATATACACACCTAAATCATTGGTAATTGTAATTCTATGAATGTGAAAAAATTTCCTCTGATAGTTAAACTCTATCTAGAATTCGTTTGCGCAATATATATTTACAAGATTACCATTGTATATTAAGTTATTCATGAGCCTTCACATATTGATGTAGGAATTTACCATTTTCCATATACAAATATCCAGTTACTCTAAAGAGCATGAATAGAACAAACACTGTTATTGAAAGCCATTTAAAGCCTTACAACTTGGAGCCCAAGACATTGAAAGTTAGATAAACCTCTTTAATTAGATATTGAAACGTGGATATATCGTTCATTAAGCCTTCTTCAGATATATTTAACAGAGCCTTTGTGGTAACTATTGCCATATTACAAGTGCAAGGACGTCAAATTAAAAAAGAACCAAGATAAGTGTCCCTTGTTTATCACTCATTTGCAAAATCTAATTTTTTTATGCCAAAAAAATAACTACGATGACTACTGCCTCGTTCCTTCCCATGATTCTGCAATGTCCAATGCTTGAAAAACAAGACCGAGTTTAGAGAGTTGCCAAACACATCCCCTACATCACTTTACTATTCGTATAGCCACTAATTGATCACAAAGTTGTATTTGACAAATGTCACTAATGATGTTAAAATGTATTTTTAATCTATAAATAATCAGACAAAAGTATTCTTAAATTTTGTGATTATTATTTACACAGTGACATCATTTTCTAGAAATCCTTAATCTACCACTGGTTTTAAGATCTTTGTGCCTAGATTGAATTTAAGACAAAAAGAACTACTTGCCATCATGATTCCAGACCAAGACACGCCTTTTCTCATATCTTGCTCTTTATGGAGAAATCTAAGTGCATCTATCAGCATTCTTTCCAATGCTTATGCTAAAATAAATAGAAAGCTAATAAGAATTCCTTCAATAGGAAATATAGTATTAAGTAGGGTATATTGCAATAAATAATACTAGTCTATAATGCGCTAAACTATATTTGCTTTCCTGATAGTGATTGAATTATAGAGCCTTTTTTTTAAACAAAATGTCACAAAAAAGAGTAATATGTTTTATTAAACTACTGACGTGAAAAAAAAAATTGTTAGAAATTATACAGTCATATATATATATAACTAAACATTATAAGAAACAAAAATTCTAACAATAACTACTCAAAGTTCTAAAAACAAAAGGAAACATTAAGCCGTCAGTATCTTCTCATTAGAGGGAGAAAAGAGAAAGAATTAGAGTGGATCCCTATCTGAATTCTGATGCTCTCTAATTAGGTGGTGATTGGGTGGGATCCAATTCTTTAGGTCAACCTAATTTGTTAGAAATTTGTTAGAAATTATACAGTCATATATATATAACTAAACATTATAAGAAAGAAAAATTCTAACAATAACTACTCAAAGTTCTAAAAACAAAAGGAAATATTAAACCGCCAGTATCTTCTCATTAGAGGGAGAAAAGTGAAAGAATTAGAGTGGATCCCTATCTGAATTCAGATGCTCTCTAATTAAGTGGTGATTGGGTAGGATCCAATTCTTTAGGTCAACCTAATTTCTTTATTTTACATTTAAATATATTTCTATTAGTACAAAGCATACATTTTATGTCATGAATTGTTATCCACTAATTTCTATTAGTACAAAGCATACATTTATTCTAGGCTGCAACTCTAGTAACATATCGAGTATATAGCCTACTTGGGATTTGCTCTGCCCATGTCGATACAAGTAATTATTAAAGAAGGGAGAAAACTAAAGTAGTAGGCTCCTACAAAACTAAGTTCTGGTGACATAAAATATTAATGCACTTCGACCCTCCACAAAGTTTCCAAGAGAGAAGATCACACACACAAAATTAACAGCATCAACACAAACAAACCAATTTAACGTGGTTCGGCAAGTTGACTACGTCCACAGGGCAATGAGGGGATGAGTTTTTACTATTAGAGAGAGAGAGAGAGAGAGAGAGAGAGATAGAGTAAAAATAGAGATTACAAAATCACTCAAAACCTCACAAATTAATCTCTCAAACTAAGCTCTCAAATCTCTCACCAAATCTCCCAAACACACAGCTCAGAAGTCTCTCAAATCCCCCCTTTTAAAGAAACCCTAAAATCGTGTTTCAATATATATCAAAACACAAAGCCAATCATAACAGGAAACTAAAAACAGGCCCAAAACCGATTGGCGGTCGACCGTCGAAATCGTCACGGTCGACCGACCAGAAAGACAGAAACTAAAAAAACGATTATAGGGTTTGGCAGTCGACCGTCGAAATCGTTGTGGTCGACTGACCAAAATTCCAGAACCTGTACCAAGTTGTGCACGTTTCCGGTCGACCGTCACTTGTCTCGCGGTTGACCGAACAGCACCAAAAATGATTCTTACGTTGTTCTTCCTGTTCTTCTTTAACTGTTTTCTCCGTTTCTACAATACTGCCAGTTTGTTGTGCTCTCCCATTGAAAGGATAGTCTTCTTAATTTCTTTTGAATATTGTCCAAAAATTCTAGTTTCTAATCCAAAGAAAGTCATTTTTCATTAATATGGTTTCTCAGAGTACTTCGCCTTTAGTAAAAGCTTCTTCTTTTTTCTTTTTTCTTCTTCCATTTTTCTTCTTTTAATCTTTTAACCTTTAGTAAAAGATCGAGGTCTTTGTTTTTTATTTTTTTTCTCAGTAGGACTTAATTGTTTTCAATTAAGTTCTTTTTAATAAATTAAGCCTTCATATATATAATAGCATGATGGCATCTCCATAATAAAAGATGCCTAACAATGTTGTATTATGTTTTATAAGTCTTAATTTATATCATACCTAAAAGGAGAATGAAGATATATAAATGATATCTAGAATAATCGAGATTTTAATCCTCCATTATTGGTGTAATCTTCACTTTTGAATTAATTTTAATATTATTGATATTATATCATTGGTGTATACTGTTGCGGGATATCCAGATCTTCATAAGCATAAAAATATTGGATATCACTAGTGTGATGTGGGATCGATGCATGGAGCCTTAGTTGCAGCTTAATTATTTGTATTGTTTAATAATCTATCAGACTCCCCAGGCGGACCCCAGCTCTAATAAGAGCTACGTACATATTATTTTGATTATATCTTTTGCATTGGATTTTTTGTTCTTACGGTTTGCTCTACATTTTCGTCAAATTCAGTATCCTAGTACGTGTTGCCAAGACAATTCCTTCAAAAGAAAAAAAAATCCAAATGTAAAATCAATCATGTTGAGATTTATTTGCAGATAGAGATCAAGTAGTTTTGGTGTGTCATCGATTAAGTAGCAGCATCGGTTGATCATGACATGTTCAATATTCAAATATCGGTCTATCTATCTTCTTAAATAATAAATGTAAAGGGGATGTTTGCATAGGGAGATGAAAGTTCATAAGACTAGACTCGTAATGTACCATGCGTAGGTTAAAAATTTTGGATGGAATTAAACAGATTTTGGAGGGAATTTTGAAATAGTTTTAAAGAAATTAGGGGTCATGTATCACCAAATTAAACTCCGGGTATTTAGTCCAGAAAAATTTAATGCAAAAGCAAAAAAGATATTGCAGCTTTTTCCCCCTCTTTTCGGAAGTTGGGTCGCGGAGCAACGAGCTGAGTCTTAATTATCAGATTAATACTATCAAACACATAAATAGCAAAATAATTAAACCCCCGGGTTTAATAAAATGTAATGTAAGTTAGTGAAAAGATATGTATAATCTGAAGAACTTTCCAGGAAAATTTAAAGGTTTATTATGGAACTTTCGCAACTGCGGGGGGCCAATGTGTAAACGCCGCCCAAAACACAGGATTGCTTGTTTATAAAAGCAAAGCAACGGCTGCGATAGGATTCGTAGGAGAGGGGGGAAGAGGGAGAGATCGAATTGGGGTTGTTAGGGTTATTAGAGGATGTCGACGGCGGGGGCGACGGATGAAGTGCCTGAGTCTCCGGCGAAGAAGCCGAAGTTGACGTCAGATCAGGAGTCGACGTCTGATGAGTCGGAGGAAGATGATGACTGTTTTTTCGGGGTCGACGGTCAGTCAGAGGAGTCGGAGGACGATTATTGCGGGGGTGGTCTCCGCAAGATGACCGACCAAGAGCGGGCCTTGCCCGATGTTTTCGCTATCGGTCTCATCCAACCGGCTGGCAGGAATTTCTCCGCTGAGTTTATTCGTCGATACGCCCTGATTGCCATCGAGGACCAAAACGAGAAGAGAAAGACAGAGGTCTGCTTCTTGTTCTTCTTCTTCTTCTTCCTCTTCCTCCTCCGCTTTAGAACATCGTCATTACAAACTTATTACTATTCTCACAGGGTGGCAATCAACTCCGTCTCAAGGAGGTCATCAAGTGTAATTTGCGGGTTGCTTGCCCCGCCGACCTTTACATAACTTTAGAGGCCGAAGATGTCGACACCCGCGAGGTCGATGAATACGAAGCCTTGGTGATGGCTCGTTGCGGAAAGCAGAAAGACGAGCTCCATACCTTTAGGAAGAAAAACAAACCGGCTATTATTAATCCGCCAGCGTCCACAGAGGTATGATCAAACCCATCCCTTTGTACAAGATTATGCTCTTGTCTTTTCCCTTGCGAGAGTTTTTCCTGGTAAATCAGGGAGTTGCCATTAGGACAGATCACTATTGTTATACTTAGTTTTATTTATATCATATTTGGTCAATGAAAAATTATGTTTATTAAACCATTTGTAAAGTTATGTACATCACACTTCTCTCATATGAGATATCTATTTGACATTTGAAAAAAAAAATAAACTGAAAATACAAAACTAGAGACAGTTAACCACAAGTTATAGTGCGGTCATCCAATCTTTAAGCTCAGATGGACATGAGCTGTTTAGTATCATGGTAAACAACTCCACCTTGATTTCTTTGATCAGCACCTCAGGACTTCTACACATTTGCTTGAAGATTCTCACATTTCTCTTTTTCCAAAACTTTTGCAGTAACGGGTGAAAGAGCAATATACAGACCTGAAATATGGATTTCGGAACTTTTGTTACAGGAGCTGATCACTTTCTTTAAATTTTCAATCCCTCCACAGGAAGAAATTGCTTTGTTTCTAATTTTTAATAACTGTTTCCATAACCAGGAATCACCCTTTTTGCCTTCCACATGCCATACATCACCATTTCTAATTTCTACTGAATGCTTTAGTACCTTATTTTTTCTTGAAATATTAATTTTTACTTGTTATTCATCTTGAGACGAACAACAGAACAACAAAAAAGACTTTATCTTTATTATTTTTTGGTTAGCTACATGAATCTTATTCTTCCATTCTGTTTTGTTGAGGGCTATATCTGGTCACACCAACGAATATCATTTGGTTTCATTTCATATAGATCCGATTAGGTTTTATGTAGATTCTACTTAATGTAACCTCCTTTATGCTGGATTGAGACTGACAATAAAAAGATAAACATTGAAGCACACCATTGGCAAACTTATGTCATCTTCTAGATATCGTAACATGATTCTGAACGATTCCAATGTTTTTATTTGCCACCACTAGTACATAATAAGGTAAAATGCAATCATGCTTGGTCACTAAACATAGCTCCTGATTGATATTTTATGTTCAATAATTTAGAATGAAGAAAACTGATCCTAGATTGCTTAGTCACTAAGCATGGCTCCTGATTGATATTTTATGTTCAATAATTTAGAATGAAGAAAACTAATCCTAGATTTCTCATTGTAGATGTATTGGTAATATGAAGCTGTATAATCTAGTCTATGTGTTGTTAGTTTTGCGAATGAAAGGATCCAAGTTGTTCCAAGCTAAGATTCCTTCAATATTTTTGTCAGATTATGTGAGTTTGCTCTTTTTTCTTTTTTACCGCTCAATCAATAGTGACCAAAATGACTGGTTCATTAACTCTTATATTGAAGAAACCTTGATTGTTAAACAATATTATACCTTTGTTATACTCTTGTCAGGGTCATTGCATTGTACTTGACATAAGTGGTTTGATGTCTCTATCTGTACTCTCGCATTAGTTTCTACTTTTCTATTTTCCTTTAATATTTTTGTCAGATTATGTGAGTTTGCTCATCTTTCTTTTTTACCGCTCAATCAATAATGACCAAAATGACTGCCTCATTAACTCTTATATTGAAGAAACCTCGTTTGTTAAAAAATATTACACCTTTGTTATACTCTTGTCAGGGTCATTGCATTGTACTTGACATAAGTGGTCTGATCTTTCTATCTGTACTCTCGCATTAGTTTCAATTTTTCTATTTTTGTTCAATATTTTTGTTAGATTATGTGAGTTTGCTCTTCTTTCTTTTTTACCGTTCAATCAATAATGACCAAAATGTCTGTCTCATTAACTCTTATATTGAAGAAACTTTGCTTGTTAAAAAATATTACACCTTTGTTATACTCTTGTCAGGGTCATTGCATTTTACTTAACATAAGTGGTTTGATCTCTCTATCTGTACTCTCACATTAGTTTCTATTTTTCTATTTTCCTTTTATATTTTTGTCAGATTATGTGAGTTTGTTCTTCTTTCCTTTTTACCGCTCAATCAATAATGACCAAAATGACTGCCTCATTAACTCTTATATTGAAGAAACCTTGATTGTTAAAAAATATTATACCTTTGTTATCTCTTGTCAGGGTCATTGCATTGTACTTGACATAAGTGTTTTGATCTCTCTATCTATACTCTCGCATTAGTTTCTATTTTTCTACTTTCCTTTAATATTTTTGTCAGATTATGTGAGTTTGCTCTTCTTTCTTTTTTACCGCTCAATCAATAATGACCAAAATGAAGAAACCTTGATTGTTAAAAACTATTACACCTTTGTTATGCTCTTGTCAGGGTCATTGCATTGTACTTGACATAAGTGGTTTGATCTCTCTATCTGTACTCTCACATTAGTTTCTATTTTTCTTTGGTAAGGTTTTTCTATCTTCCAAGTCTTCACCAAATGAAGCACTTGCTATTTGCTAATCATTGTGTTCCAGACAAGAAGCAAATATGATTTAAGCTCATAACTCTTCTTTAATGTTTATATACTCTGATATATTCTTGATAAAATCCCATTTGCCACTTGCTGCAAAATGCTAGATGCAAACAAACAACTGCATGTATTATGAAAAAAAATACCACATTTATCTTTGCCTTGCTTACTTCCTAATATTAGTAAGCACAATCGATTGAAGAAAGCATTTTTTTCTCACCCTTCTAATCAATTTTCTATTTTCAATTTTCAGGGCTCCATAAGTAGCAAGGATGATACTTAACCTCTCCGATGAAGATAATGCTGCTTCGCTTACTTCCCTTAGTGATCTCCTAAATAGACCATTAAAGAAATTAATTAGTAGCCTATAACTTGTATATCCGTGACTTTTGGTGTTTGGCATTTTGATGATAGGAATTAAGATAGATTCTATCCATAGCAGCAACCATTTCTCCTTTTTAAAAGAAGTTCCTTGTGAATTTCACAGTGAATTTGGCTCGGACAATAGAAATCTCTTGTGGTGGGCATTTTTAACATCTTTGTGTACAACTGGCAGTTTTGTTTTCAACGAACTTTATAGTGAATTTAGCTAAATGGTTTTCTTGTGATTTTGATAAATAGTTGATGATGAAGTCAACAACAATAATTTGATTAAATTATTTTGGTATCCAAAAATATTGGATAAAATATGAGACAAATATGATGTTTTCTTTTATCAGATGTTGATTTTAGATATACTCCACAAAAAAAAGATTAAGAGAACACATCATATACTTTGTTCTCATGTTTAATTAGTCTCAGTTTTTGGATTTACAGGAAGTGTTGATAATGTTGCAGGTGGTCTGTGGAAAATATGGCTCTGCCCAAATGTAGATGTCTGTAATATCCTTCAAATATTAAATCATCAAAACTTTAGTCTTAAATGACTGTCAAACTTACTTATCATTTATTTTTTGAGTATCCGTGTTTATTTATGTCCTGAAACAACCCGCAGCATGGGTCTATCTTATTAATACATTATAAAAAACTCCACTTGAATCATTTACTTCCTTTTTACCGACAAAAGCCCGTACTCGATAAAATATATTATTCCGAGCACGGGTTTTTTAGTCAAAACGCATCTTGTCTTTATCACGAGTTATTTCCCTTGGTTAACGCTACTTGTAGTTTTGCCAATATTCGCAGGTTCTTCAATTTTCTTTCTCCCTCATAAGGGGAATAAGGTATTTAGGTGGTATACTATATGTATATGCTTATTAGAACTCCTTCTAACAACCTATGTGCTATGTCATCATTTCCAATTGGACGATCCATTAATTCAATTGGAGGAGGATTTTAAATGGATAAATATTTTTGATTTTCACTGGAGATGGGGAATCGATGGACTCTCCATAGGACCCATTTTATTGACAAGATTTATCACTACTTTAGCTACTTTAGCAGCTTGGCATGTTACTCAAAATTCGTGATTATTCTATTTCCTTAGCAATGTACAATGGTCAAATATGATTATTTTCTTCTCGAGACCTTTTACTTCTTTTCCTTATGTAGGAGTGTTTACTTACTTTTATCCATGTGGCGGGAGGGGGGAATAGGACCCATTTTATTGACAAGATTTATCACTACTTTAGCTACTTTAGCAGCTTGGCATGTTACTCAAAATTCGTGATTATTCTATTTCCTTAGCAATGTACAATGGTCAAATATGATTATTTTCTTCTCGAGACCTTTTACTTCTTTTCCTTATGTAGGAGTGTTTACTTACTTTTATCCATGTGGCGGGAGGGGGGGGGGGAAGAAACGTTTGTACTCAGCTACAAAGTTTATTTTTGTACACTGCGGGGGTTCCATTTTTCTCTTAATAGGGGTTCTAGGTGTGGGTTTCCAATGAACCAACATTGAATTTTAAAAGATTAGCTCATCAATCATATTCTGTGGCATTAGAAATAATATTCTTTTTGGGCTTCCTTATTATTTATGCTGTCAAATTGACAATTATAACCCTACATATATACATGATTACCAGATACCCATGGAGAAGCACATTACAGTACATGTATGCTTCTAGCTAGAATCTTATTAAAAATGGGAGCATATGGATTAATTCAGATCAATATGGAATTATTACTGCACGCCCACTCTATATTTTCTCCCTGATTGGTGATAGTAAGGGAGAATACAAATAATCAATGCAGCTTCAACTTCACTTGGTCAACGCAATTTAAAAAAAAAAGAATAGTCTATTGCTCTGTATATCAAATAAAGTTTTTTAAGGTATTAAATCTCTAAAATTGCTCAATAATCTCCCAAATCCTAATAAGGGTCAGAGATGGTCCCTAAATGACTCAGATAGGCACTTAGGGTTGGGCGTGGGTCGACCCATGATATGCTCGGGTCACGGGTTGGGTCGGGCCTAGCCTCAAACTTGTGATTGGAAAAGCCCACACCCGACTCGCCTCGGTCCATGATATATTATTTGGCTAGTCTAACGGATCTTTTAACTATTTAGGTCTGCAATTAACTACCAACAAAGCCAAAAGGTTATAAATTCGTTGGCCTTTTGGTCCATCGAGAAACAAAGAAGCGATATTTAAGCTCGCTGTTGTCTACTTGGAAGGACTAAAAAGTTTAATACAAGTTTAAAAATAATTCAATACAAATTTAAATTACTAAAAAATAAATTAAAAATAATTTTATAATTGTAAGTACAAATTTCATATAATTAAAAAGGTAAAATGAAATAAAAAAAAGTTGGTTAAGACCCTTTTCAAACCGGCGGGCCGGTCACGGGCCTGAACCGGTCCGGCCCATGCCCAAACGGGGCCACACTTATGTTTTCGCTCAGAAGTCTCCATTTTGTCGAAAACAAACGACGCAGGGCATTTTGGTTAAGACCCTTTTGAATTTGAAGAACTTTCGAGGAAATTTTAGAGGTTTGTTATGGAACTTTCGCAACAGCGAGGGACTAAATATGTTATGGAACTTTCGCAAACTGCGAGGGACTAATATGTAAAATCTGCCCAAAACACAGGAGCAGGAGGACTGATTGTTTATAAAAGCAAAGCAACGGCTGTTAGGGTTTGGTTAGGGCTATTAGAGGATGTCGACGGCGGGGGCGACGGATGAAGTGCCCGAGTCTCCGGCGAAGAAGCCGGAGTCTACGTCAGAGGAGTCGGAGGAAGATGATGACGATTCTTACGGGGATGGTCTCCACGAGATGACCGACCAAGAGCGGGCCATGTACATGGAAGCTGTTCGTCGCAGCGATGTAAAGCCCCCCGGCCGCTAACCCTAAAATAATTCATTAATTATTTGTGTTTTAATTATTTTAATTTATTATTCTCCATCTTTCTCAATTAATCATTTCTTTCCCCCCTAGCTAGGGATTTGATGTTCCTCCGTTACCCAACGTCTTTGCTCTCTGTCTCATCCAACCGGTCGGCAGCGATTGGCCCGCTGAGGATATTCGTGAAATCGCCGACTTCGCCATGGAGGACCAAAACGAGAAGAGAAGGGAAGAGGTCTGCTTCTTCTTCTTCTTCTTCTTCTTCTTCTTCTTCTTCTTCTTCCTCCGCTAAAGAACATAAAATAATTGTTAAAACTTATTTCTATTATCACAGGGTGTCAATGAACTCCGGCTTAAAGAAGTCATCAAGTGTAACGTGAAGGCTGCTTGTCCCCTCGACTATTACATAACTTTAAAGGCCGAGGATGTCATCACCGGCGAGGTCGATGAATATGAAGCCATGGTGAATACTTTTTGCGGAGAGAAAGACGAGGTTCATATCTTTAGGAAGAAAAACAAAGCGGCTATTAATCCACCCGCATCCACAGAGGTATAATTAAAACAAAGCGGCTATTAATACATTTGTAGCTTGTTAAAAGTGATGCACGTTCCTGGAGCACAAATGCATGGCAAGCATGATTGACGTACGCCGGAGATTTGGGCAGTTTTTGTGCATGAGTGGTAAATCAGGGAGTTGCCATTAGGACAGATCACTATTGTTATACTTAGTTTTATTTATATCATATTTGAATCCTTCCATTTACTGATTACTGTAGTCGCTTATTTTTTCTTGAAGTATAAATTTTTACCTGTTATTCATCTTGAGACGAACAACAGAGCAACAAAGCCTTTATCTTTTTTTTTTTCTTTTTTTGGTTGGCTACATGAATCCTATTCTTCCATTCTATTTTGTTGAGGGCTATATCTGGTCACACCAACGAATATCCTTTGATTTCATTTCATATAGATCCGACTAGGTTTTATTTGGATTCTACTTAATGTAACCCTCCTTTATGTTGGATTGGGACTGACAATAAAAAGATAAACATTGAAGCACACCATTGGCAAACTTATGTCATCTTGTAGATATCGTAACCTGATTCTGAACGATTCTGATGTTTTTATTTGCCACCACTAGTACATAATAAGGTAAATGCAATCGAGCTTGGTCACTATGTTGGAAAAAAAAACTATCAAATAAAAGTTGTAGCATGTAAATTAAATCCAAATTAAATACGTAAGAGATAAGAAAAATCAGGCCTGACGGGAAGCAGTCGTGTAATCACTATCCTAGAAGATTAAGAACCCGCCTATCACCCTGGCGCAAATGGTTCCTTCCCCCTTAGCGGTAAAAGCCCCCGGAAACAGCCGACCTCCGTACTCGGGCGAGAGTACAGAGCTTCTGCTCAGACAAAGAAGGATGCCCAAAATAATAAAAATGAACAAAATAATAGCTAAAGAATTTCCCATGATAACTATCTCTCTTTATTATTTTTCTTTTCTTCATTTCTTCTCTCCATTTCCAAAAGCATCTTTCCCTCTCTGTCTTCTGTACGTGAGCAGAGAGAGTTTTTAGGAGTGAAGTTATTAAGAGATGAAGTGTGTGGGTTTTATATTATGGCGATGGGAAATAGTCAAACGTGAAAGAGAAAAAAGATGGGGTTAGTTGAGAGATAAAAATTTGGGGTTAGTTGGAGAATTAAGAGGAAATTAGAAAGTGTCAATATTGATCTTTTCTCCAAAATATCTTGTAGTCCCCCCAAAAGGTAATATTGACTGAAAACTCAAAAATTAATAAATGAATCAATAAATCACAAAACACATATAGGTTGGGTAACTTTTCGTATCGTGAATTCGGGAGCGGTAGCTTTCGACTTTGAACCTTTTCTTAGTGAGTTCAACGTCACCTGAGGGATATAATGGACTAGGCCTTGAATTAGACCCCTTGAATCAGGTATTAATATAAACACACACAATACGTCTTCATCTATTGAGCAAAGCGGGTTGAGCGTTAAAGGTCATGCTCACAATAACCGACTCATGAGAGTTTTTAGGGGTTAGCCCAGCCCCCCCAACCGCGATCATCACGGTTCCTCTCACGTAGGTAAGTCCTCAAAGGGTACTACAGCTGGATATTTAATACCCCTCGCAATACACGCGTTGGACTTATGTTCGATAATTTAGAAAGAAGAAAACTGATCCTAGATTGCTTGGTCACTAAGCATGGCTCTTGATTGATATTTATGTTCAATAATTTAGAATGAAGAAAACTGATCCTAGATTTCTCATTGTAGATGTATTGGTAATATGAAGCTGTATAATCTAGTCTATGTTTTGTTAGTTTTGCGAATGAATGGATCCAAGTTGTTCCAAGCTAAGATTCCTTCAATATTTTTGTCGTATTATGTGAGTTTGCTCTTCTTTCTTTTTTATCGTTCAATCAATAATGACCAAAATGACTGCCTCATTAACTCTTATATTGAAGAAACCTTGATTGTTAAAAAATATTATACCTTTGTTATACTCTTGTCAGGGTCATTGCATTGTACTTGACATAAGTGGTTTGATCTCTCTATCTGTACTCTCGCATTAGTTTCTATTTTTCTATTTTCCTTAAATATTTTTGTCAGATTATGTGAGTTTTCTCTTCTTTCTTTTTTACCGCTCAATCAATAATGACCAAAATGACTGCCTCATTAACTCTTATATTGAAGAAACCTCGATTGTTAAAAAATATTACACCTTTTTTATACTCTTGTCAGGGTCATTGCATTGTACTTAACATAAGTGGTTTGATCTCTCTATCTGTACTATTGCATTAGTTTCTATTTTTCTATTTTCCTTCAATATTTTTGTCAGATTATGTGAGTTTTTTCTTCTTTCTTTTTTACCGCTCAATCAATAATGACCAAAATGACTTCCTCATTAACTCTTATATTGAAGAAACCTTGATTTTTATAAAATATTACACTTTTGTTATGCTCTTGTCAGGGTCATTGCATTGTACTTGACATAAGCGGTTTGATCTCTCTATATGTACTCTCGCATTAGTTTCTATTTTTCTTTGGTAAGGTTTTTCTATCTTCCAAGTCTTCGCCAAATGAAGCACTTTTTATTTGCTAATCTTTGTGTTCCAGGCAAGAAGCAAGTATGATTTAAGCCCATAACTCTTCTTTAATGTTTATATACTCTGATTCTTGATAAAATCCCATTTGCCACTTGTAAGCGTCTAAAATTGTCTACGAGAGCCCACACGAAACTCGAAGCAATGAATGGGCGAGTCAAGAAGATTCGTCAAACCAACTCGTGCGCGTCGGTCAAACGCGTGCACGTCAATCAACTCGTGCGCGCCAGTCAACGCGCGCACGTCGATCAGCCCGTGCGCGTCGGTCAACGCGCGTACGTCGAATCAACTCGTACGCGCCGGTCAAACGCGTGCACGTCAACCAACTCGTGTGCGCCGGTCAACGCGCGCACGTCAACCAACTCGTGCGCGCCGGTCAACGAGTGCACGTCAAATCACCTCGTGCGCGCCAGTCAACGCACGCACGTCAATCAGCCCGCGCGCATCGATCAGCACGCGTATGTTAACCAACGCGCGTTCGACGATCGGTCTCGCGACGAAGCATACAAGTCAACAAATCGAACGAATACGCAACAAGAACAAGTCCCGGAAGAAAGAAACCAAAAAAGGGAGAAAGTCGGCGAACCCGCGCTAAGCGCAGGACGGAATGATCCGACCCGCGCAAGCGCGGGACGGATCAATCCGACCCGCGCAAGCGCGGGTCGGATGATTCCGACCCGCGCATGCGCGGGTCGGATGTTTCCGACCCGCGCGAGCGCGGGTCGGATTATTCCGACCCGCGCGAGCGCGGGTCAGATTGTTCTGCCGCGCAGTCTAATGTCCCAAACACGTTTTGACGGTTTTTTAATTGGTTTTTTGCAGGGTTTATCGGTTCCAGGGGTTCTTAACTGACTTGAGATCATCCTCAAACGTGGTTAGGCTGCTGTTGACTAAAGATAGAGCCAAATCCCTTGTTCTTATCCAAATAACCGCATTTTGAGGCCTATAAATATGAACCAAAGGCCTCCATTTTCTGGATCTGGAATTTTATCAAGAGGACGAGGTGCTGCTGGATTGGAGAGTGAAGGAGCACGAAATTTCAGCAAAGGACAGCGAGATCCCGGTGAACTTCGGAGCAAAGGAGAAGCCGTTCGAAGGATCTGAAGCTCGTACGTCCGTTCCTTGAGATTAGGCTTTGTCTTAATCTCGAGAAGAGCCCTGAAATCGCTTTGTCGATTCCAGGACTTCAAGCAAATACCCCCTTGGTGAGGTAGAAGCTCTGCCCAATTTTCTGCAACCGGATCTGATTCGAGGTCGTCCACGGATTAACCCCGGCACCGGCGAAGAACCCACGCAAGCAAGAGCCGATAAACGGATCTTGCGTTTATTTTCAAGAAAGTTGTAATCTTTTGTTCTTTTGTTATTTGAATTCATTTGTAACGCTTAAAGTTTAATGAAATCAATGACTAAGGTGACTTTCGACGAAAACACCATAGAGTAATGCTTAGTATTGATATTAAAAAAGTATTTGACACTATTAGCTGGAAATTTTTGAGAGATCTGCTTATTGGCCTGGGCTTCCCAAATAAGGTGGTGGGTTGGATTATGACATGTATATCTTCCCCTTCTTATTCCATTTCTTTAAATGGACCACTCTATGAATTCTTCAAAGGTAAAAGGGGTTTGAGACAGGGAGACCCTCTATCCCCATATCTCTTTATCTTGGGTATGGATTATCTCTCGAGATGCTTGGATTTATTGAAGAATGACAATCAATTCAAATTCCATCCTAAATGTAAAAGACTCAAGATATCTACTACTTTTTAGCAAGGGAGATATCATATCAGTTCAAAAACTCTATCAATGTATACAATATTTTAGTGCATCTTCTGGGCTTGAAGAAAATCCTAATAAGTGTCATATTTTCTTTGGTGGTGTGAATGAAAGAGTTAAGTCTTCTATAAATGACTTGTTGGGCTTCACTGAAGGCACTCTACCTATCAGATACCTTGGAGTCCCCCTCATATGCAAAAGGCTTTCCTATATTGAATGTCATCCTCTACTTAACAAGATTAACAGTCAATTTCAAAAATGGTCTTCCAGGAACCTCTCTTATGCAGGAAGAATACATGTTATAAAAAGTATGATTTTAGGTGTCCAAATTTTTTGGACATCCAGCTACATCTTGCTAGTGAAAGTTCTTCATAGAATTGATGAAATGAACAGAGAATTTCTGTGGGGGAGAACTGATCATAAGCATAAACCCTCACTAGTGGCATGAGAGAAAATCTGCCAGGGGAAAAAATATGGTGGATTAGGCATTTTCTCTGCTAAACTCTGGAACGTTGCTGCTGCCTTGAAGAACATCTGGTATATCCATGTGAATAAAGAGCTCCTATGGATCAAGTGGATTCACGATACCTATTTAAAACACAGAGATGTCTGGACTGTCAATGCTAAAGCAAATGATTCCTGGCTCTGGAAACAAATGTTGAAAATCAGGGATAAAGCCTTGACTTTAACTGGAGGAGTTGATAATCTGAAGCATATTATTGGATCTTGCTACAGGAATTCTAAAGTTAAATCATCAGCCTTGTATTGGGCATTATCTCCAACTTCTCTCAAAGTTTCATGGTATAATATTATGTGGGAGAGATTGAATTACCCCAAGCATTCTATCATAAGCTGGCTTGCTATTCAAAAGAGATTGTTAATGCAAGACGGGTTGTCTATGATGGGGATTTTGCCTACAAATTCCTGTTGTCTATGCAATGGTGCTGCAATGGAGAGCCGTGATCATCTCTTT